TAGGAATAATAGTAGAATTAAGGAAAAATCAGGAAAAATTAAAATGGTAGGAAATAAGTCGAAAGTAGAAAATAAGGTCCTAGGTAGTAGAAAATGAGTCAGAAGTAGAGAAAATAAGCGAAAATATGCTAGAATTAAGAAAATACTACAAGAAAGTTAATAGTATAAGTATTCCTCCGAATAGTAAAACTCGAAAAATATCTATTTTTCAGGAAGGTCACTTGATTGCTGCCAAATTCAGGAATTTAAATTCGCAATTCATTTGGAAAATTACTTACTTTTTGACTCTTTCTCCATCATCGAAATGATAAATTAGCATTGTGAACGCAAATAATATCGAAAGGAAAAAAAGTATTGTTTATTATTTATAATAAGTATTGTCGGGGCCGAAGTAAATATTTTCTCTTTCTGCGTTCTTCGAAGATGACCGGTCTTCCAGAGCGGGGCTACGATGACAACCAAAGGGACCATCGCGTGCGCCGACGCTGTAAAGATAGCTGAAAACACGTAATAGACGAGAAATCACTGCGTTCTACTTGAGCGTCACTGTCCTACTCCCCTTTTTTATCTTATGGCAAGGCTCTGCCCATAGTTTCCTTTTCTACTGGTTTGCTTTGCAAGACGAATCGTTTGGTCGATTTCCTTGTTGTGAGACAACTTTATGTATTCCGATAGAATTATTAGGAACATTTTAGGTAGGCACCTCAATTCGAAAAACAACTGCTGCCATTTGGTAGACAGATTTGAAATAGGCTTGGCAAAATAAATCTGAAAACATTTTATGTTATTAAAATATAGACGTTCACAACAATCAATGACATTAATTCTTTCTTCCAAAGACTATGGAGATCTGCCATGTCAAATTGCTAAATATTTTATTATATTCTCTTTGAATAACGTTCCTTGTTCGTTCATTATTTATGTATTCATGAATTAAAGGGCACATCTATGAAACGTACCGATAATAAAATAGCTACTGATATTTTATTAATGAAATAATAAAGACAAAAATATTACAACATTTACTATAATTATTATATTTCATAGAAACTAGCGCCACCAACATCTTCACTGACTCACAATAAAGTTTCACAAACACTGCCGTGAGATGGCTCCACCTTGCATACTGCACTGTTTTTCCATTGGTTCATGCTTTTCATAATGAAAAATATAATAATATTTTTCTTCACATGAATAAACGATTTCTTAGAATAATTGCATTCGACAAAAACTACACAACAATCATCGATGCTAACTCGAAACTGCTTTCTGGAAACACTTTTTTAGTTACTTATCCATTTTGAGACACTCACAACCTGCACGAGCACAACGTTTTCACAAGAACAGTGAAAGTTCCATTTTTATTAGGTAGGTGCCTGCTGATTATAACGTGAAATATGGACAAACGGCACATCCTACGACGTTGCAAAAAAAACTGTACCGTATAGGCTGTCAGAAGTGAATAATGAAAATGACGATCTGTCAAACTGGCTAACTGTCAAACGTAGAGTATGTAGAAGAATTTTGTCGATCCACTGACGACCTCCGTGGTGATGACGGCTATGACGCCGGTTTTGGTGGTCGCATCTCTGGGGGTCCCGGGTTCGAATCCCGGTCGGGTCAATATAGAAAAAAGGACTTTTCGATATTGTCTCGGGTCTGGGGTAGTATTAAGTGTAACATATTAGTAGTAAGTGAGTAATAGTAGGAATAATAGTAGAATTAAGGAAAAATCAGGAAAAATTAAAATGGTAGGAAATAAGTGTCGAAAGTAGAAAATAAGGTCCTAGGTAGTAGAAAATGAGTCAGAAGTAGAGAAAATAAGCGAAAATATGCTAGAATTAAGAAAATACTACAAGAAAGTTAATAGTATAAGTATTCCTCCGAATAGTAAAACTCGAAAAATATCTATTTTTCAGGAAGGTCACTTGATTGCTGCCAAATTCAGGAATTTAAATTCGCAATTCATTTGGAAAATTACTTACTTTTTGACTCTTTCTCCATCATCGAAATGATAAATTAGCATTGTGAACGCAAATAATATCGAAAGGAAAAAAAGTATTGTTTATTATTTATAATAAGTATTGTCGGGGCCGAAGTAAATATTTTCTCTTTCTGCGTTCTTCGAAGATGACCGGTCTTCCAGAGCGGGGCTACGATGACAACCAAAGGGACCATCGCGTGCGCCGACGCTGTAAAGATAGCTGAAAACACGTAATAGACGAGAAATCACTGCGTTCTACTTGAGCGTCACTGTCCTACTCCCCTTTTTTATCTTATGGCAAGGCTCTGCCCATAGTTTCCTTTTCTACTGGTTTGCTTTGCAAGACGAATCGTTTGGTCGATTTCCTTGTTGTGAGACAACTTTATGTATTCCGATAGAATTATTAGGAACATTTTAGGTAGGCACCTCAATTCGAAAAACAACTGCTGCCATTTGGTAGACAGATTTGAAATAGGCTTGGCAAAATAAATCTGAAAACATTTTATGTTATTAAAATATAGACGTTCACAACAATCAATGACATTAATTCTTTCTTCCAAAGACTATGGAGATCTGCCATGTCAAATTGCTAAATATTTTATTATATTCTCTTTGAATAACGTTCCTTGTTCGTTCATTATTTATGTATTCATGAATTAAAGGGCACATCTATGAAACGTACCGATAATAAAATAGCTACTGATATTTTATTAATGAAATAATAAAGACAAAAATATTACAACATTTACTATAATTATTATATTTCATAGAAACTAGCGCCACCAACATCTTCACTGACTCACAATAAAGTTTCACAAACACTGCCGTGAGATGGCTCCACCTTGCATACTGCACTGTTTTTCTATTGGTTCATGCTTTTCATAATAAAAAATATAATAATATTTTTCTTCACATGAATAAACGATTTCTTAGAATAATTGCATTCGACAAAAACTACACAACAATTATCGATGCTAACTCGAAACTGCTTTCTGGAAACACTTTTTTAGTTACTTATCCATTTTGAGACACTCACAACCTACACGAGCACAAAGTTTTCACAAGAACAGTGAAAGTTCCATTTTTATTAGGTAGGTGCCTGGTGATTATAACGTGAAATATGGACAAACGGCACATCCTACGACGTTGCAAAAAAAAACTGTACTGAATCGAGGATCGTTGAGGTGAACCTATGAATGCTTTCATAGTGGAAATATTTCCTGAATTTTCTTGCCATAAAAACGTAAATGAATGAATAAAAAACAAAAGGTTCAATTAATTTTCTATTTATAAAAAAGTTCAGTCAGTGTAACAAAGTATTTAAATTAATTAATTAAATTGTACATAATCGTAACTTGTATTTATGCCACAATTCGGGTGCACGAAAGACATTACTCGAATTCAGAGGGCACCCGAAGCAATATTACCACTAGAATACGGACTGGAAGAAGGTGTCGGCTAAACAAAAGGAAATCTACCCGAATTCGGACGCACTCGACTCCGTTCATTTACACTTAGTCGTTTACCCGAATTCCATTGGCACTCGTATTAGGGCTAGCGACCAAGTGTATTAGCCATAGAGGTATTTTTTTATAGATAGGTCCGACAAATGACTACACTCCACCTGATGTTAAGTGATGGTGAAGTCCAGATGTGAAGATAGCTGGTAAAACAGTTCTACCTGCCACACCAACCATCCTCACCCTACCGGCCTGCATGTTGCTTCTTCACGCCTCTTTTAAAGGATCCCAGGTTGTAAGAGGGAGGGAACACGTGAGCAGGCAGAGCATTCCATTTACGGATAGTGCGACAAAGAAATGAGTCACCAAATTTCTTTGTACGCGTTGGAATTGTAGTCACAGTTAGACGGTGACACCGAAGGCCAGCGCGCGTGGTCCTCTGAAGGAAAGAGGAAGGTGGAATAAGAGAGAATAACTCCTCAGAACACTCGCCGTGGTACAGACGATAGAACGCGCTTAGTGACGCCACGTCACGGCGTAATTGAAGGGGCTCGAGGTGTTTAGTCACCTCCTCATCGCCTTTGATGCGGATCGCATGCCGCTATATAAGAATAGAGTGGGGAAGGCGGCTCTAAAAGTGTCCGTCTAGTAGAAAGAGAAAGAAGATAAGAGACCGCTAGCCATCTCTCTCTCTCGTGACGCATGCGCAGTCGTCTGTCCAATAGTTGGTCCAAGTATCACATCGAAATAGTAAGATGCTTACGGTTGCCGTGCGCATGCGCGATGAGAGAGAGAAAGCTAGCGGTCTGTCATCTTCTTTCTCTTTCTATTAGAGGGGCACTTCCACTTGTAGTAGAGTCTATCACCCATATTCTTAGTCGTTTCCTCGAGATTTTTTCCTATCGACTCAACCTCATTCGAGGAAATTCGTATGCTTAGACAACAAAAATATCCTTCACTTGAGATATTCCTCACTCGAGTCGAGTCGAGGAATAAACTGTCAAACTCATGGTAGCTCTCGACGTACCTTAAGGCTTCCTCGAGTGGTGTTTTTATGGATTATGGACGAATTGGTGGATTTTATGGATTACGTATACGATGATGAACCATATAATCCGGCGCGACGGTATTTACGTGGCGCCGCAAATCCTTTTGAGGTTTACGACAATGATTCGTTTCAAAGAAGATTTCGGTTTAGAGAGATACAGTCATACACGTAATATTTCCTCTGCTAAGCATTACACTAAATTGTAATAACAGAGGACTACCTGTACCGCCTTTTAATACAATTACTGGTGGCATTGAAGTTTTACGTGACAGGATTATTTCAAGTAGGTATTTACCTATGTTTTTTGTGTGATATTTTACTTTACACATTTAATATGTCTATGCTTTTATGCTTTATACCATTGTTTGTACTCTCAGTGGAGGAATTCTCAAGTTTGTTCAAGATACCTACTACAATATCATTTTCGAGGTTATTTGGAGGTACTCCTTAAGAAGCCGTCGAATGAGTTAGAGTCGAGGAACGTTTGAGGACGCGACTAAGAATATGGGTGTATATCTCCCCTACTCTATTCTTATACCTCTATGGTATTAGCGCCATTATAGTCAGAGGTTGCTGTCAGTGCAATCGCGACTCAGGAATTGACGTCAGTCACTCACATAATGTTGCATCTTGCTTGTTGCGCAAACTTTTGTGTTTACCGGTGAATTGGCTTGCATTTGCATTCTGAGTTATTTGATTTTGTTCTTTATGTATATGATAGTAAGTGAGATTTTAAAGTGCGGCGTGCTCCTCATCAGAATCTTGATCGGAGGACATTTTCTTGCGACATTTTGCGAAGTATCCTCTCCTCCAAAGCAGGACTATTACGAAGACCAATGGGAACGCAGCGAAGACGCCTAGAAACACAAGGAAAATTAATACTGAGATTATGAAAGTTGTTCAAGCCAAAATAACTCTTAAATATGAGAACTTAGGCGCAAAAGTATAGAAATGAAACTAAGGTGTAATTTGGTGGACCATAAACTTCTTTTTGATGTGTAACATCTTTCCTCTCGCATTCCTGCAATTTGTGGGAGTGATTTCGTGAAATGGGACGGAAGTGTGTAACAGGAAGTCGCGAAAGCGCGGGCTATTTGATTTGATTTTAGAACATAATGTTCAAATGGCTCATTCCTTTTGTAGTAGGTTTTATTTCTTTTTATTTTTATTTTTTACTAATATAAGGTGAGGTTTGAGCGGTCGACCTCTAGTATTCAATGTATTTTTAAAAGATCCGCACAATTCTAGTCCGGACTATAGCCTTAAAGTCCGGCCATGTCCAGACTAATCCGGACGGATGGTAACCCTAGTCAGGAATCAAATTGGCTGATTGTACACTCGCGGAAAGACCCGCTCTATCACCCACAATGCCATAATCGCTTGCGGTAGCAGCGTAGTAAAAATTCATTCATAGACATGTAATTATCGCTGTCATACTTTTTCGTATAGCGCTGTCGCGATCACGATGCGGATGATAAATTGCAACTAAAACAAATGCAATTCAATTCATTATTCATGCAATGAAATGCTCTCTGTCTTACTTTTGTGCGGCGGCCCGGATTGGCGCGTCCTACGCGAAGGCGGGGCGTAGTAAAAACTACTGTAGAAAACCGTTCAAAGCATTTGGTTCGCAAAGTGACAGAGCGCAAAATTCCGCGATAGTACATAAAACTTTCTTTGTCTATTTCGATCTATTAGTGTTACTAACCAATTATGACACCAAGGACAATGGCAGTTTCCGATCCTGGCAACACCGCAGTCTCGGCAGCCTGCGGGCATTCCAAGGTCTTGGAGTTTTCAAAGAGCTGATAGAACGACATGCCTCTAATCTCCTGGGGTTTCGTGCATCTGTGGAAAAGGAACTCAATGAGTGTTTAGGAAAATTAACGTCATCAGTTGGCGCCACTGTGAGTGGTCTTTTGTATGAAGTTTTTGGCGCGAATTCATCAAACGAACATTTAAATTGATTCATAGACTTTGAGGTCATAAGCGATTTGACCACAGAGGTATAAGAATAGAGAAGAGGAGATATAGACTGGTTGGGCGTTTTATTATGTGTGAGTTTATTTACATCAACAATGTTCGCATTTGGCTTTTGAATTTGCAATATGCTCGCTGACGCCACCTAGTGTTCGATCTGCGAACCTGTCCAGATGGCAGATATGTGGGTACTGCGAATATTGTTATGCGCGGGTACGCGAACTTAATAACGGTCGTTGGCTCGTCATTTCCAACGGCCGCTCTCTGCTGTGTTAGATTCCGTGCAGATAGTTCGTTCGCATATAAAGTGAAACGCAGCGCGTAATTATCTCGGAAATCGCGTAGAAGATTTCAACCGCACCCAGAGGAAGAAAGAAAGAGCTGCATCGGCTGTGCCCACGCTTGCAAGCCCGATAAGGAGGCAGAGAGATATCCGGGTGAGTCGTTGGTGACATTGCTCCTATTCAATTTCCACTTGGTTCATTTTGTTGATGTTTCTTTGTGTCTAAGCAGCTCGTACATAATAATTCGCTCGCCGCACATACTTATATTGTCAAACCCGCATCCAGTGGATGGCTATTTACACGCCATACCATAGACTCTACTACAAGTGGAAGTGTCCCTCTAATAGAAACCTTCTTTAATGGATTAGGGAGAATAAAACGTGTCACACCTCATGCAGTGGGCAGGGGCGTATTTGAATGCTGCCTGTATTTTGGTAATCTATACATATAATAAATTGGTAGGAAAGTCAAAACTGTACATTTTTGTTTGCATAATTTAACACAAGAAGGAGATAGAAAGCCTCTCTTGAGTTTGTTTCGCCGGTTCTTCTCAGAAAGGTCTCCCAATTTTGGAACTGGTGGTAGTTTACGGTATTTAGGGTCAAATAAATAAACTCAAAATTACAAAAAATAATTTTAAATAAAATACTTTATTAACTAAATTAAGTAATAAATTCATACATAGACAATTAAACTTTAAAAATTGAACAATGAAATAACCGAACGTTCAATAAAAGTCTTTCGAAGGTAGCTCAACAAAATTAAATAAAAATTTGATTCCGACGACGTAGCCTGTAAAGGCTACGAAACGTCAATGACTAAATAAAGTTTCGTGCATTAACCCGTAAAAAACTAGTGTTATTTAATGAGTGATGTGCGTGAAAACCTAAGAAACAAATATGTACATTGAATATTTTTTTAAAAGAATTCTTGGGGTGTGATCTACAATCGATATCGAAGCCAAAAATATAGGTTTTAGAATTTTGTCTGTCTGTTTGTCTGTATGTATGTCCGGGATAAACTCAAAAACTACTGCATGGATTTACTTCTGGCACGAATATTACTAAGAAGTCGGGTCAACATCAGGCTGCATATCACGCTATCACCTACGGAGAACGAGCAGTAAACCTTTAGTTCTAACTAACTCTATATCAGACGCGCTCAGTCTTTGAATATATTCAAAGACCAGCTCAAAAATTTCTATCTTTCGTAGTGAATCTGATTTTACTGTGTAAAATGTTTATCGAATATACACATATATACATACGCATACATACATAAACATAACATGTATGTATGCGTATATATTTATGTGTAAGTATGTTTATATGTTATTATATGTATGTGTATATAAATATATATATATATATATATATATGTGTATGTGTATATATGTATATATATTTATATGTCTAATTAGGATACTTAGTTTGATGTAGATTGTATGTATGGATGTGACTATTTATTCCAAGCCATTTAACACCCCTATGGTCTCTGTATAAATTTTCATACTCAGTGGCTGTCTGGAAGAAATCGCTCTTAGCGATAAGACCGCCAATTATAACGCTTTTGTTAATATTATTGTTTGTGAATGTTACGTAATTATGTATTTGGTGTTATAATAAAGTGTTCATCTATCAATTTAACGACTCTGTAAATAATAAAACAGGGAGAAAAAAACAGCCCTTGCTGAGTTTCTTGCCGGTTCATCTCAGTACAAGGTCTCCCGCCGTAGATTTACGAACCGATGGCGTAGCTTCTAGACATTCATGAGTGCTTGTAACAGCCTAAACTGAATAAATGATTTTGATTATGATTATGATTATCTATCTATCTCCACGCGTACGAAGTCACGGTTTTTGTCGAAGTTGAGGTAGTTGATGGTGATAGCGCTGTTGAGGGCGGCCAGTATTGTGGTAAACTTGTTGCTGCTTATGTCCAAACGTTCCAATCTACGCAGCGAACGGAAAAGTCCGTCGGGCAGAGTCTCTAGGCCACAACCGCTAAGCACTAATTCCTGTGGTGAATGACAAATATATCCTTACATCATATCAGCTGCTGAACCGTTGATTTTGGTGATCAGGGGCACGAGAACATCCACCATCCATTGGTTCTTGCAGTCGCACACGTAAGGATTGTCATGGAAGGAAGCATCAGTGATTTGATCCCACCGGAACAGGAAGTCAGGGTCGATTTCAGATACGTTGTTGTTGTGGAGGTATAGCTGGAAATATAGCTAAATTAATGAGGAGCTGGATGGCGCAAGTGGTTAGCGCTTTCGGCTGCTATCACTGAAGTTAAGCAACTTTCGCAGTGGTCGGTCATTGGATGGGTGAGCAAAAATTTACTATCTCGAGCACCTCCGTGCTTCGGAAGGCACGTTAAGCCGTTGGTCGCGGCTGCATCTGCAGTCGTTAGCACCCGCCAATCTGCACTGGGCCCGCGTGGTGAATCATGGCCCTAACTCACTATTCCATCCATAGGGAAGGCCTGTGCCCCAGCAGTGTAGACATTAATAGGCTGATGATGATGAATCTGTGATCATGTCAGATGCAGGAGGGATCAACGTCTTTACGGGCTTTCCGAGGCACGGAGGAACTCGAGATGGAAGATTTTTGGTCACCCATCCAATGACCGACCACTGCGAAAGTTGCTTAACTTCAACGATCGCAGCCGAACGCGCTAACCACCTGCGCCATTGAGCTCCTCCGCCATCGAATCTGTGATCACGTGACCAAAAACCGTCGCCTCTGCGATGCAAATACCAAACGCAGTATCATAACTCACCCGTTTCAGAGCTGGCCATAGGTCTGTACCATCATCGTCCTTCCAGTTCAGAAACTCCTCGTCTATGGTAGTCAACCTGGGATTGTTGCAGATGTACAGCGTCTCCAGGCTAGCTAGACCGCCTAGGGCTCCGGGGCCTATGGTCTGAAGTCTCGTGTTACATAACCTAAGTTCCCTCAGCCTGATGAGCGTCGACAATGATCTGGGAACGACGAAATTCTAGGTTTATTTTATATTAAAGTAGGCAAAACGGACCCCACCTGATGTTAAGTGGTGATAAAGTCCAAACGCGAAGATAGCTAAGAAGATATATATAATTGTGTGTATTATATGTGTGTATTCTGTTAAGAGTATTTGTATCCTTGGTTTATCTTAAATTTGTCTTTATTGCGCCCCCGTCATATTAGTTTTTTTTCACGCTCTTACTGGTCGACTGGTAGAGAATGCCTTATGGCATTATGTCCGCCATTTGCTGTGTTATGTTGTAATAAAGTTTAAATAAATAGCTGGTGCAGCAGTTATAAACTGCCACACCAACCATCCTCACCTTGCCGGCCTGCAAAAATGCTTCTTCACGCCTCTCTTAAAGGACCCCAGATTATAGGAAGGAGGGAACACGTGCCCGAGCAAAGAATTCCACTTACGAATAGTACGCCAAAGAAATGAGTCACCAAATTTCTTTGTTCGTGTAGGAATAGTGGCCACAGTAAGTCGATGACAGGCAGACCCCTCTTTCCCAGTGGGCACTTTGGGCAAGTGCCCAGGGCCCCGCGGTCAATAAGCCCCTCCCAGATCAAATACAAAGTCCCTAGTTCCTGTCAGATCACCAAAGGATAACCAATATTTATTACCAAAAAACTTATATAATTCGATGAAATCGAACCTAAATTACTGACTACAATACCAGCTTACTAGATATTACATGCGCGAAGCTATTCTACTCTTGCCCAAAAATTAGGATTTCCGACTTCAGCATGCTTAGATAAATCTATATACGAGTATATAAAACTCAAAGGTGACTGACTGACATAGTGATCTGTCAACGCACAGCCCAAACCACTGGACGGATCGGGCTGAAATTTGGCATGCAGGTAGATGTTATGACGTAGGCATCCGCTAAGAAAGGATTTTGATCAATTCTACCCCCAAGGGTATAAAATAGGGAATGAAAGTTTGTATGAATCTTTGTCAATTTTAAACCGATCGGGCTGAGACTTTGCATGCATGTATAAGAAGAATCATAGATGAATGTCATTGTGTATAATAAAAGCCTGAGAACAAAAACTGTAGTCTACACTTCAGTTCTACACCGAAGCGAAGCGAGGGCGGGCCGCTAGTTTAAATATGTATATAATGGTATACTAAGCTATTTTAAAGAAAAATCATCAGTACTACAGTCATCAGTGTGACTCGCCCCATTTCAAGTCATAAACCATATCATAGTCATAGGGGCCCCATTATCCTAATACTAGCAAACCAGTGAACCAAATGTTCACCAAAACCTGATTTAAAAAAAAAAACATGTATTTAATTAATTGAGAACTTCGGAGATTTTGTGTGGTTTCGTTTGAAATTCGTGATTTCTCGAAAACCGGAAGTGCTACGTTACTCAAATCCGGTTTGTAGTCTCATCAGACTATTCTTAACTTATAACTTTAAATATTCTTTTTATCTATCTCTTACGGTTTGGCCGTTGAAACAGCACCACAGTCAGACAGACGGACGGACTTGTCTAATAGATAAGAGATGCCCAGGGCCTCCAATAGGTTAAAGACGGCACTGGTGGCAGGTAAATGTACCTGAAAACTGGTTGGACCTGAAAATTGGACGTCCACTAAAATACAACTTACGTTTTAATTTTAATTTTATTTTATTTTTAAAGCATGTAACTGCTTGATGTTTTAAATCTAAAGAAAATATAACTAGAAAAAAATCCACGCGGACCAGGCAGCAGACGGGACTCGAACCCGCACCCTTCGCAATCGGGTCGAATGCACTGACCAATTATGCTACCGCGGCCCTCACGGACCACGTCGAAATTCCTCTAGCCATTCTTAAGCTGAAAGGCAGCGCCATCTTTTCGCATTATAGGTAACCCACAATGTCAGATAAACAACTTACGTTTAAATCTAAAGAAAAGTTTTTAAGTTTAGTTCGAGTCCCGTCCGCTGCCTGGTCCGCATGGATTTTTTTCTAGTAAACTTTTCTTTAGATTTCAACATCTAGCAGTTAAATGCTTAAAAATAAATAAAAACATAACTTACGTTTTCTCGGTCAGATTGGTGATGGGGTTTTTGTCGAAGTTGAGGTAGTTGATGGTGATAGCGCTGTTGAGGGCGGCCGGTATTGTGGTAAACTTGTTGCTGCTTATGTCCAAACGTTCCAATCTACGCAGCGAACGGAAAAGTCCGTCGGGCAGAGTCTCTAGGCCACAACCGCTTAGCACTAATTCCTGTGGTGAATGACAAAGTATCAGTATAATAATAATATTTCCAAGACTCACTCCCGTAGAACACAGAAAGAGGTTAGAGGGGTGATCATAAACCGTTTGTACGGGAACCGATGTCGCTGGCTCGCCCCCACTACACTTCCAACTAATAGATAGTAGCCAATTAAACGACGCGACATCAAACAATCGAACCAATAAGCGCTCACACCCGAGAGCAACCACGCAATGAGAAACAAATTTTAGTCAAGTTATGAGCATTTGCTCACCCATAACTGTGGCGCGGCTGCCCCGCCCACAAGGCACATCTAACCTCTTTCTCTGTTCTGTGGTCACACCAATTAGCCTAGCCCCAAGGTAAGCACTATAAGGCTTGTGTTATGGGATACTAGGGTAACAGATAGAATATACATACTGATACATATACACAGTCAGGTCATAAGTATTGCCACACAGTAAAAACTTTTCTTTTAGAATGCTGGCCACAAAAAAGTTTATTGAATTCGAATTTCGAATTGTTCATGAAAATAAAAATGTATACTTTTTAGAATTTTACTTAAATAAGACTGTGTTGCAGTTATTGCGTTGCTTCGTTGCGGTTACGCGCCAATTCAAATTTTTGAATTACTGAAAAATTTTAATATAACCAAAAGATTCGTTTATCGTACCATCAAACGATACAATGAAGACTCCCGTGTAGATGACGACAGGTCAAGAAGTGGGCGCCCTCGGTCGGTTAGTGACTCCAGAGGGATACTAGGGTAACGGATAGAATACATATACTTTACATATATAAGTATATTCATATAGAAATACATATTAAACATCCATGACTGGAGTACAAATGCTCGTGTTCATTACACAAACATCTGCCCCCACCGGGATTCGAAGCCGGGACCTCCCGAGTCGGCGACACCATAAAACCCGGCGTACAAACCACTCGGCCACGGAGGTCGTCAAATACATTTACACAGAAAGATGTAAAAACGAATGCAGTTGTGTATCAAAATACAGTCCTGACGAACCTTGTGGAACCTGTTTCTCATACCATGTTCAATAACAGGCACTGGGTATTCCAACAAGATTCGGCGCCAGCTCATAGAGCCAAGAGCACACAATACTGGCTGGCGGCGCGTGAAATCGACTTTATCCGGCACGAAGACTGCCCTCCTCCAGTCCAGATTTGAGTCCGTTAGATTACAAGATATGGCAACACTTGGAGGAAAAGGCGTGCTCAAAGCCTCATCCCAATTTGGAGTCACTCAAGACATCCTTGATTAAGGCAGCCGCCGATATTGACATGGACCTCGTTCGTGCTGCGATAGACGACTGGCCGCGCAGATTGAAGGCCTGTATTCAAAATCACGGAGGTCATTTTGAATAAACTTTATTGTCATAAGAATCTATGTTTTGTTAAGTTCATTTTGGTATATAAATGGTTACATAATGAATAAACATGTTTAAATTATTTTAATTTAATTTTAAACATGTGACAGAATTTATGACCTGACTAGGTATAAGTATATTTATATAGAAACATATATATAAAACATCCATGACTAAGGTACAAATGCTTGTATTTATCATACTAACTTTTGCCCCCACCAGGATTCGAACCCTCATGTGTAGGCGACACCTTGAAACTCGGCGTATATACCACTTGGCCACGGAGAACGTCAATCTATTGATGTCCCTACAGCTGGGGCACAGGCCTTCCTTATGGCATGATTACACTTGGTCTTTAGCCCGAACACGAGTGCCAATGGAATTCGGATATGATGTCCCTACAGCTGGGGCACAGGCCTTCCTTATGGCGCAATTATATTTCGAGTTTTATAAAATAATTATTAATGAACTAATTATAAAATTATATACATATTTCAGTAATTCAATGATAGTTCAGGTAGATTAGTTTTATGAAAGTTTTTGATAGTAATTCTGTTTAATTTAATATCAAAATACAAGGTAAACCTGCATTGTTTTTTGAGAAAACTCACGGAGGTTAGATGTTTTGTTTGATAATAATTAATGAGATGCAAAATCAAAATTCTAATAAATTATGTTACAACAAAAACATATTTCTGATGTCGTAGTAATTAATTTGATCTAATTTATTGAACATTATTTAGAGAATTAGGCGTTTGAAGTTGTGCATATAATCGTTTTTTCCGTAAACTAGCTGCGGTAGAACGATCGGTACAAAAAAAGGAAAATAGTATTTCTAAATATTCTACATGAATTTACAATAGTAAGAATAAATTTACTGTTTACTTCTATTGGAAATAGTCAAAATCTTTTCTAAGGGGGTAAACGAGGCGCTCAAAAATTACGATATTTTGCAAAAAATGTGAAAGGGCCTTAAGCCTTTTATCTCAGCTGCATCTGTAGTCATTAGTACCCATCAACCAACACTGGGCGGGAGCGTGGTGGCGACATCTACATGCCCCACATATAACCGATATTATGGAGGCAATAATCACTCGCCATCTTCAAGAGATGGCGCTACCGGCGCTGCGAACAATAAGTATGGAAGCCTACATCGCGCAAGTAAAATTCGGATGCCTCGACGGAGAGGAGACTGGGGAGTCTCCTCTCCGCCTGGAGCCTCTAGACCACTCGAACCTGAGAGGGTCGGCTCAACAAGAGGGCGTCTCTGAGACTCGGACCTCGGCTCTAGTTAGCCGTTGTCGTGGGGGGCGGGGAAAAACACCCAGGGCCCGACTGGTGTTGGTCGGGCATTGTATATATTTTTTTTTTTTATATGATTAGGTAGGCAAATGACTCTACCCCACCTGATGTTAAGTGGTGATAAAGTCCAAACGCGAAGATAGCTGGTACAGCAGTTATAAACTGTTACACCAACCATCCTCACCTTGCCGGTCCGCAAAAATGCTTCTTCACGCCTCTCTTAAAGGACCCCAGATTATAGGAAGGAGGGAACACGTGCGCGGGCATAGAATTCCACTTACGAATAGTACGACAAAGAAATGAGTCGCCAAATTTCTTTGTTCGTGTAGGAATAGTGGCCACAGTAAGTCGGTGGCAACGTAGTAATATACAACGTATAATATATGAAGTGTTAACATCCTTGGGGAGACGCCATCCGCCTGGAATACCTCTAAAGACACTCGCCAATTCTCGGCTTGAGGTCCCCTTAGGATCTCGCCGTCCCCAAACCCGGTGACGCTGTAAAGGTCATCTGCGACCAACAGCATAGAAACTAAAAAAAAAACAGTCGGGCCGCGGCCCTTGAGCTACCACCACCAAGCTCGGAGGAAGATCTTGCCCTATGGCCTTCCTACACTATTGTGAGAACTAAGATAGCGAGTGATTATTACCTCCACCCGTTGGTTATACCTAGTCAGGTCATAAATTCTGTCACATGTTTAATATAAAATAAGTGAAACAAGTTTATTTATTATGTAACCATTTATATACCAAAATGAACTTAACAAAACATAGATTCTTATGACAATAAAGTTTATTCAAAATGACCTCCGTTATTTTGAATACAGGCCTTCAATCTGCGCGGCCAGTCGTCTATCGCAGCACGAACGAGGTCCATGTCAATATCGGCGGCTGCCTTAATAAAGGATGTCTTGAGTGACTCCAAATTGGGATGAGGCCTTGAGCACGCCTTTTCCTCCAATTGTTGCCATATCTTGTAATCACAGCTTTTATCACTGCTGGAGTCCAACCGACCGAGGGCGACCACTTCTTGACCTGTCATCTACACTAGAGTCTTCATTGTATCGTTTGATGGTACGATAAACGAATCTTTTGGTTATATTCAAATTTTTCAGTAAGTATGTCATAAATTTGAATTGGCGCGTAACCGCAACGATGCAACGCAATAACTGCAACACGGTCTTCTTTAAGCGTGCACTCCATATTTAAAAATGAGTAAAATTCTAAAAAGTATACATTTTTATTTTCATGAACAATTCGAAATTCGAATTCAATAAACTTTTTTGTGGCCAGCATTCTAAAGGAAAAGTTTTTACTGTGTGACAATACTTATGACCTGACTGTGTATGTGGGGCATGTAGATGTCACCGCCATAGGCGTGGTTGATTATAGGCCAATCTCCCTATTCCATCCATAGTAAAGGCATGTGCCCTAGCAGTGAAGACATTAATAGGCTGAATATGATGAATGAAGCAACTTACCCTTAAAAAAGGCAGTTCGGTGAGTGTCCCCGTAGCGACTTGATCTAAAATCCCCAGTGGATTTCTGCTTAGATCCAGATACCTATGACAATGAGTGTTTATTAATATTTATTTTAAGCATTTAGCAGCTAGATTCGTAAATCTAAAGAAATTTTTACTAGAAAAATATCCACGCGATTATAGGCTACAGACTTTAGATTAAAACAAAAAGGGAAGATACGGTACGCTCATACTAGCATAAAATAAAATATGATCCGACTCAACTGCATAACCAACTCTCACACACGCACACGTCTGCAAATAACATTCAATAGGGCGAGCGAGACAGAACTACGCTTCAACGCAGAGCGAGCGAAACACCGAGTCCGCTTCAGAGTCCGCATGGCTGAGCTGTATTGCTGTCCTTTTCTTGATAACAAAATGGCGATTACGTAAATTACATTCACGACAAACAGTGATTACTGAAAAAAATATGATTTCACAGTTTTACGCATGAGAAGTGTTGCCGGGGTATTTGTTATTACATTTTGAACTATTTTGTTCTTTATAAAAGCATCGAAGGCATTGTTTTATGTTTATAACACAGAACATACGCAATATTGTTATATTACGTGCTCATGCAGCGTGTTTGAATGTTCAATTGTGACTACAGCAAATTGTGGTCGTGCACCACAATTTAAGGTCGAATACTTTTGAGCTGTGAGTGCCGTATCTTCCCTTTTTGTTTTAATCTAAGCTACAGACGGAACTCACGTACTCTCGCTATCCGAGCGGATGCACTGATCAATTATGCTACAGCAACATTAAGAGGGGAGGCAGGCGATGCTTTTTCCATACAAACGTTCTCGACTGATTCCTCCTTGATTTTTATCAGTAAAGAATTGATTTTCATACACAATATACAATTTTAGGAGCTCGATGGCGCAAGTGGTTAGCGCGTTCGGCTACGATCGTTGAAGTTAAGCAACTTTCGCAGTGATCGGTCATTGGATGGGTGACCAAAAATTTACTATCTCGAGCTCCTCCGTGCTTCGGAAGGCACGTTAAGCCGTTGGTCCCGGCTGCATCTGCAGTCGTTAGCAGCTACCAATCCGCACTGGGCCTGCGTGGTGGGTCATGGTCCAATCTCCCTATTCCATCCATAGGGAAGGCACAAGCACAGAGCACAGGCCCCAGCAGTGGGGACATTAATAGGCTGATGATGATGATACAATTTTACTCATTAAATGCTCTAATGTCATCCCTTTTTCGATAACTTGTGTTTGATATAAACTAGACGCCCTCAAAAATGCCAGAATTATACAAATTTTTATCACCACTAAAGACGTCTAGAGTGGAGATTCAGTAAGCATTTACGAAAAAGCAAAACATAGAGGCCTAGTAGAACAACTTATTAATCTATGGGTAAAATTTATTTTACACTACCTGTGCCCCGCGGTGTTACCCGCGGTTTGTTAGGGATATTTTCCCGGCAATTATTCGAATTTGTCTCACCTTTTAAACCTTCCATAGACCTCCACGACCATTTTAAGACCAAGATAAGATAAATCCGTTCAGCCGTTCTCGAGTTTTAGCGAAACTAACGAACAGTAATTGATTTTTATATATATATACTAGCGGCCCGCCCTCGCTTCGCTTCGCTTCGGTGTAGAGCGGAAGTGTAAACTACAGTTTTTGTTCTCAGGCTTGTATTATACACAATGACATTCATCTATGATTCTTCTTATACCTGCATGCAAAGTCACAGCCCGATCGGTTTAAAATTGACAAAGTTTCATACATCTTTCATTCCCTATTTTATCCCTTTGGGGGTAGAATTGATCAAAATCCTTTCTTAGCGGATGCCTACGTCATAACATCTACCTGCATGCCAAATTTCAGCCCGATCCGTCCAGTGATTTGGGCTGTGCGTTGATAGATCACTATGTCAGTCAGTCACCTTTGAGTTTTATATATATAGATTACAGTATCTCATTTCGAGGAGGAAAACGTCGAGAGCCAAATCTTGAATTCTGCAATATTTATACGCAATTTTCAAAGCGTTAGCTACTGTTGTCCCTATCGCTCGGTATTTGTCAATGCGCGACAGCAATAGCTTTTTAGTGCATCCGCCCGGATAGCGGAGTGTGAGGTTCGAGTCCCATCTGGTGACATGAAAAATTCCCTACAGGGATAAATGAAGTTAAAATAAAATGACCTACTAGTAAAACGTCTGAAATTTAAAACCGTCATACGTCATACGAACATGTGTGGAGGAGCTCGATGGCGCAATTGGATAGTTCGGGTGCGATCGTTGAAGTTAAGCAACTTTCGCAGTGGTCGAGTATTGGATGGGTGACCAAAAATTTACTATCTCGAGCTCCTCCGTGCTTCGGAAGGCACGTTAAGCCGTTAGTCGCGGCTCCATCTGCAGTCGTTAGCACCCACCAATCCGCACTGGGCCCTGGTCCATCCATAGGGAAGGCCTGTGCCCCAGCAGTAGGGACATTAATAGGTTGCTGATGACGAGTAGAACGTCTGAAATTTACAAACGGCATGTTGGGAAAAATATACGAGTCGCGCAGTATGGGTACAAATAAAAGGCTATTAATAAAGACACAAACCTTAAATTGTGCATAAATGCGAATGCGTCCTTCGGAATCACATGTAGATCGTTGTGTGCCAAGCTCAGATATCTCATCTTTGATAATGGCCGAATCTTTGAGTCTGGGAGTAAAAGGCCCTGGAACGTAAAAAATAATGGGTATAATAACATCTTTTGTAACATCTTATGTAACTTAAGGCGTTGAGCAGACGACGGGGCGGGGCGGGCATTTTGTCCGCGAAGCAATAAAGACCGCGTCTGCCCGTCGATGTCTGCGGCTGCCCGCGCCGCGTACAAAAAGCACACGACGGGCAGAGGCGGTCAGTTTAGGACGTTCGTTCTCGTGAATAGTCCATCACTAATAAGCGCGTGGCGCGGACTGAGCTGACCGCCCCGCACCGCCGTCTGCGTTACTGCATATAAACTGGTTTGTATGATCCACGGCGGGCAGCCGCGGACATACCGCGCCGCCACTGCCCGCCGGGAACCTGCGGCGCGGTCTTTTTGCCCTATGTGTGCGTTTGAAGTATAGGATTCACTTTGTGCTATTATTCGCGGCGAAATTGACCGGCCCGCCCCGCCCCGTCGTCTGCAAAGTGCCTAAAGAAACCAATAAAACATTGACTATTAAATTCTTACCCAAAACGCTCTCTTGTTCAAATCTTCCAATTCGTTCCGACTCAAGTCCAAGGTGGACAAATTCTCCAGATACTTAAAGCACCAATCGTCTATCATTTCCAACCTGTTCTGAGATACGTTCAGTTTCTCAATGGGCAGTTCAGCGATGACTGTGAGCATTTCTATGGAATTCCCGCTCAAGTTCACTTCTTTTATGTTTAGGCTTTTTAATTCTTGAAAACAAAAAACAAAATGGGGCAGATGAATACGAGCATTTGTACTCCGGTCATGAATGTATCTTATATATAAAATTCTCGTCTCACAATGTTAGTTACCATACTCCTCCGAAACGGCCTGACCGATTTTTATGAAATTTTATATGCATATTCCGTGGGCCTAAGAATCGGCTACTATCTATTTTTCATATCCTTAAGTGATAATGGTTGTCCACCTGTAACGTAGTGTTCTGAAACCTACAATGCGCCGTCGCGCCAAAATTCAAATTATTGGGTATTGTAACGTAGTGTTCTCATATGGGTTAGGAGGAATGTTATCCCAGGAAGTTGATAGAACACTACGTTAAACACCCTTAAAATTTTTTTTGGACAATATTTATTTTTTATAATATGGTATTAAAAAATACATACAACCCTAAATTTTCTCTTCTACCACCTGCCCCTATTTTTATGGCGGTACGAAGTTCGCTGGGTTAGCTAGTTTCTATATAAAATATTCTTATGTATGTATCGCTATTTGCATTCTATCCGTTACCCTAGTATCCCAATAACATAAGCCTACAGTGCTTACTTTGGAGCTAGGCCTTAGATTAAATCAAAAAGGGAAGATTCGGTACTCGCGGATCAAAAGTGATCCGCTTAAATTGTGGTGCATGACCACAATTCGCTTTAGTCACAATTGGACATTCAAACACGCTGCTTGTGCACTCAATATAACAATATTGCGTATGTTCTGTGTTATAAAAATAAAACAATGCCTTCGATGCTTTTAAAAAGAACACAAATAGTTCATAATCAAATGCCTAGGCAACACTTGATTCGTTAAACTGTAAAATCATTTTTTTCTCAAAAATCACGGTCTATCGTGAATGTTATTAACGTAATCGCCATTTTGTTATCAAGAAAAGGACAACAATACAGCTCAGCCGTACGGTCTCGAAAGCGGACTCGCCGTTTCGCTCGCGCTGCGTTGAAGCGTGCAGTTAGTTCTGTCTCGCTCGCTCGATTGAATGTTTATATACAGACTGTGCGTGTGTGAGAGTTGCTTATGTAGTTGATTCGGATCATATTTTATTTGATGATAGTATGAGCGTACCGTATCTTCCCTTTTTGTTTTAATCTAAGGGCTAGGCTAATCGGTCTGAGTGTTGTAAAGGTTTATATTATTTATATTATACTAGCGGCCCGCCCTCGCTTCGCTTCGGTGTAGAGCTGACGTGTAGACTACAGTTTTTGTTCACAGGCTTGTATTATACACAATGACATTCATCTATGATTCTTCTTATACCTGCATGCAAAGTCTCAGCCCGATCGGTTTAAAATTGACCAAATTTCATACAAACTTTCATTCCCTATTTTATCCCCTTGGGGATAGAATTGATCAAAATCCTTTCTTAGCGGATGCCTACGTCATAACATCTACCTGCATGCCAAATTTCAGCCCGATCCGTCCAGTGGCTTGGGCTGTGCGTTGATAGATGACTATGTCAGTCAGTCAGTCACCTTTGAGTTTTATATACTCGTATATAGATTATATATATAATACGCACTCTTGGTTGTAAAAAGAACATTTTATTAATCAAAACTCGGGTTACAATTACAATATGTTGAATAAAATAGCAGAGCGTAATTTTAAACGCACAGTCTTGACTGTCTATCACACGCGGTCACGTGATATTACTTTTCTCTATGGTCACGTGGTTCGCGCGGCAGATACGTATCAGCCAATCACGAGCGAGGAACTGTAACGTACCTCAGGAATCGTCCCAGGGTTTCGACTATCATAGGTTCCATTTCACACATTTTATCATCTAACATCACCGATATTCTTCAGACATAAAAATATGTTAAATTGTGTGTTTCCAGAAAAACATAATATAATATATGTTTATGTCTGAAGAATATCGATGATGTTAGATGATAAAATGTGTGAAATGGAACCTATGATAGTCGAAACCATGGGACGATTCCTGAGGTACGTTACAGAACGTAAAGACCGCTCTATGGGTTGGTTGGTATGAAACCACAGATTAGCGCGTTACATCTCTTATCTATTAGACAAGTCCTGTGGTGCTGTTTCAGAGGCCAAACCATAAGAGATAGATAAAGAGAATATTTAAGTTATAAGTTAAGAATAGTCTGATAAGACTACAAACCGGATTTGAGTAACGTAGCACTTCCGGTTTTCGAGAAATCACGAATTTCAAACGAAACCACACAAAATCTCCGAAATCAGGTTTTGGTGAACATTTGGTTCACTGGTTTGCTAGTATAGCTTTAATAGGCATAGATAAATATGGATTGCTACTCACGATTCCATTCCTCCAGCGTGAAGGACTGCGTCAGTTGTCTGTTGGTGCAGTCCAGCATACCGTCTGCGCATTCGCAAACCTTGCATATCTCTGGCGTTGGATCTATCGTGGTGGATTCTATAATATCTGTGTTGAATTTAATCGGTTAAAGACATAGAGAAATACGGCCGACGCAGCCTGCAGGGGAGTAGGTATACACAGGTGGTTTTCCAATTACAGAGCAAATGCGACTCAGAGGCGCACAATGCCGAATTATGCTGATGCTTAATTAGAACGTGAATTAGTTTTCAAATGCACCAGCAGAGTGCGCTAAGTTCAGTGTTGAAAAAAAAAGTCAATGTTTGTACCTTCATCCATATTTATATTTAATTTTTAACACAGTTTGAATTAACTTTGATTATTTAAAAAAAATTATAAAGAAACGAAAGTTTTAATAATTTTTCAACAATAAATAATATTACTAAAGATAACATATAAATAAAACATTTCGATCAATGCCAACTTAAAGAAAAAACACTTGTTAATTTTCTGTCTCTGAGTTGGTCGCATCACACGAAAGCATTACTTTTGAGAGTGCTCGATTGTGCGAAGCGTTGCTGTAGTTGAAACACTCAACGTTAAGCATTATGCCGCATAATGCGCTATAATGCTGTAATTGGAAAGCTACCACAGCTTTCCCCTCTGTCGAATTGGGCATAAAAACGAGGTTAGAAGGGCCGTGGGGTGGGGCAGGCGCGCCACTCGGCTGCGAGCGCTGATTGGTGCGATTGTTTGATGTCGCGACGTCTGATTGGCTATTATCTATTGGTGTAATTGTAGTGGGGGCGAACCAGCGACATCGGTTCCCAAACTAACGGTCAATGATCACTATCTATGGTGTATTGTGTCATTGTGTATGTGTGAGTGTCGTAAATATAGTTTAGGTTTTTATGCATGTACCTCAAACTGCATTTGTGTGCCTATTTCCCCTAAAACCCCCCCTCCCTGCCCCACAAAACTAACTTACTCTAAGATTTTCATTATCTCCTAAGTCTAAGTAAGGAGCTCGATGATGCAAGTGATTAGCGCATTCGGCCTGCGATCGTAAAATTCAAGCAACTTTCGCAATGATCGGTCATTGGATGGGTGACCAACACTTATTATCTCAAGTTCCTCCTTACTGCGGAAGGTACGTGAAGCCATTGGTCCCAGCTGCATCTGCAGTCGTTGGCACCCTGGTGGCAATCCGTGGTGCATCACGACCCAGTGCCCCTATTACATCCATAGGGAAGGCAGTGCCCCTGCAGTGGGGACATTAATAGGCTGATGATGATGATGAATATAAGTGGTAGGTATAGATCATCATCGTTGCAGATAGACAACCGACTGTTGAGAAACGTAACTGTCTTTGTAAACACAAACATCATCAGCCTATTAATGTCCCCACTGCTGGGGCACAGGCCTTCCCTATGAATGGAATAGGGAGATAGGGCCATAACTCACGGAACTCCAACTCATACCGGCTTAACGTGCCTTCCGAAGCACGGAGGAGCTCGAGATAGTAAATTTTTGGTCACCCATCTAATAACCAAACAGTGCGAAAGTTGCTTAACTTCAACGATCCGAACGTGCCAACCACTTGCGCCAAAGAGCTCCTCGAGTCCATCCATCCATCCATCAGTCCGTCGCTTACGTTCGCGCAATCTTTGTAGACTTCGGCCGAGTCAATAAACGCTACGAGTGGTTCGTCGCTGGTAGTGGAACCAATACCTTCGAATCGGGCGGTGCATGCTTAGATTAAAACAAAAAGGGTAGATACGGCACTAGCCTCACAAAAGTGATCCGCATAAATTGTGGCCCAAGACCACAATCGCTTTAGTCACAACTTGACATTCAAACGATGTACATGTGAACGCCAAAAAGAAAAATCTCTAATATTTTGTGTTTATATGATAAAACAATGCCTAAGTGTGTTTTTAAAAAGTGCTCAAATTGCTTAAGAACTGAAAATAAAACCCACGGCATCACTTTTCATTCGTAAGTACTATAAAATATATTTTTTCATAAAAATTGCTGTTTGTTTTGAATCTTATTCGGTAGTGACGTCGAGTTCTAGTCGCGTGATTGGTCGGTAGGGCAGTGACGCGGATCTCGCCGTCTCGTTCGCGCTGCCGTTGAAACTTAACGTGCTGTTTCGTTCAGGTCGGTAATGCAGTGACGCGGTTCTCGCCGTCCCGTTCGCGCTGCCGTTGAAACTTAAATTGCTGTTTCGTTCATTCGATTGTATCTTTACAAACAGGTGGATGTGTCAGTGTTGCATATGTAGTTAAGTGGGATCAGTTTTTGTTTGATATAAGTATGAGCGTACCGTATCTACCCTTTTTGTTTTAATCTAAGGGTGCATGTTGCAAAGTTACCAGCCTGGTATACGGTTGCGTCTGTCGGCGCGGGTGAAGACGTTGACGCGGCGCGATCTTCCGATGCGTGGTCGCCATTCAAAAACCTTTCCACCCCAACGGCCATCGGTTATCCCAAGGGCGGATCCAGAGGGGGGGGGGGGGTCATGGGGGTCATGACCCCCCCCCCCCTGGGCTGGGTACAGATGGACCAAACCCAGGAGGATTTTATTTAAGTACTTTCAATATTTAATATACCACGACTATATGACCCCCACTGGCGCCAAAGCTGGCTATATGACTCCCCCCTGGCGCCAAAGCTGGATCCGCCCTTGGGTTATCCTTGCTACATCTCCCGCCCATTGCCACTGCAGCAGATCAATCCTTTTGCTCATTTCTGATTCTATCGCGTAAACATTTTCTCCCAATTGCCCCGTTAACGGGACAGCCGGGGTGAATGGTACCGAATGGTACTGGTAAAATTAACACCAAAGTCTCAACTCACCAGTTTCATCTTGTGGACAAATCATTCCAAACATAACGACAACACAAAACGCACGTAAGTACATATTTTTTGCACTTTTTCAACTCTATCTACACTTATTTAAAGCACTCACTAACGTTCAATTTAGTTTTTACTTATAAATCACCATCTATTTTAAAATTTTGTACATTATACACACCCACCGATATTATATTCAAATGTAATAAATATTTATATATATTCGTTTCAGAAAAGCGCTTCTCTCATCGCATGACTGCATTACAACTAATACGATAAGATTATGTAAAACTGTAAACTCTACGTTTGTCAAAGATTAGTGTAAGTACAGAAGGACATTTAGGCTATTGACTAGAAAGAGCAGTTTTGGTTTTGGCATTTTATCAAAATAATGTCCTCGCCTCCTGCGCATTGGTGCGCGTTTTCGATCTGCGATAATGGAAGTTAAGCTACTTTCGCAATGGCCCGTCACAAGATAATGAGCAATAAATTTTCTATCTCGGAGATCTTCCGTGCTACGAAATGTAATTTATGCAATTGCAGCCGGCTGCATATGCAGTAGTTAGCACCCTACAAGGGACCACGTCGTTGGTCTTAGACCGAACTCTCTATCCCATCCATTTTAGGCAAATGTCGGTTCTGTACACCAGCAGTAGTTTTATTAATAGGCTGATGATGGCAGGGCTTCTGACAGTAGTTATGTCGCTGGTGCGATGTCTTGCTTGATTCTGTCCCTTACCCCCGTGAAGTTCTGATGATGACAGTTTCTAACTGTTTAAATTGTAGGTAAGTAAGTACGAACGCTATGAAGTAACAAAATTATTTATCGTTTCGATCTTTAATCTATGTTAACTCAGCACCAATCTTTAGATAACGAATTAATTCTACATAAAAAATTCAAAGATAAGCATATATCTGAAAATATCCACATTGATCTGAAGTCATAGAGTTGGAATTCGCATGTGGTTTCAATCAATATGTCTTAATGAAAATCGATGACCTTTTTATCACTATTGAATTATGATTTCAAATAAAGGTATAATTTACTTCAAGATTTCAGTTTATAACAAGTGCTATATCTTAGTTTTGATTTTTACGTTCCAAAAAGTATGAACAGTCATACCCATTAAAGTGGAGTAAGCAAAAAAATGAGGAACTCGATGGCGCAAGTGGTTAGCGCGTTCGGGTGCGATCGTTGAATTTAAGCAACTTTCGCAGTGGTCGGTCATTGGATGGGTGACCAAAAATCTTCTATCTCGAGTTCCTCCGTGTTTCGGAAGGCACGTTAAGCCGTTGGTCCCGGCTGCATTTGCAGTCGTTAGCACCCGCCAATCCGCATTGGGCCCGCGTGGTGGGTCATGGCCCTATCTCCCTATTACATCCATAGGGAAGGCATGTGCCTCAGCAGTGGGGACATTAAGAGGCTGATGATGAAGCAAAAAAAAACACTACGCTAAAAATAAAATTGGTGATTTTAGATGGCCTATTTTTGCGAGCTTTTCCCACGGATGTTCTTTTTCGTAAAATACCTCTATAAATACTAAATATCTTTAAATTAAACATGTGATTGGTATCTTTAAATAGGAAATTTTTTATTATATTATACCTAACAAAATCTGTTAAAAACCTACTAAAGTTTAAGAAAAAAACGCCTTGTAAATCAAGTGAATTCTCATGCAGTTTCAAGTAGAGTTTATTCGCGACTAGCGACCATTGACAAAATCAATATGAGTTTAGGTAATTGTGAGCGCCATCCTTCTGTTATTTTCTATTATATTTATTATTAAAACGCATCACGGCCACACGCGGCTACCTTCGCTTCGCAGCTCGCAGTCAGCATCTCTGGCCTAAGCACGAATTTCGACTTCGTAATCGTATCACATCGTCAAAGTTTCTATGAGAACTAAGCAGCGCTACCTAGCGGACGTAGGAACAAACTGGCTCCTTCCATACAACATTTGACGATGAAGATACGATTGTGGAGCTCTCAGTTTGTGCTTGGGCCTCAGGTGGGGTGAGATAACACAATTCACATATATAAAAAACATGTCTTATCTATAACGAGCTAACACAGTTAAACCCAAGGTCGCCTCAGGAACGGATTTACGTAGGGGCTTGGGGGGGTTGGAGCCCCAGGCCCCGCACTGGCGGGGGCCCCTCAGGGGCGTGTCATTCTATGAAATACCGAATAGAAGTTTGACCTGTACATGTATCCCTCCCTTCTACATTCTAATATACGTGCAAGTTCGAATGCATATTATGCATAAAAGCGGTATTTAGAACAATATTGGAATCAGATGATTTTCATATCCTTATATGGGCCCTGCATCAATTTCAGCCCCGGGCCCCACCATTTTTAAATCCGCTCCTGGGTCGCCTTTATAATTCGAATCAATGATGATCATTACTAGGTCAGCAAATCAATTCAAAATCAACAGTATAATTATCTATTAAGCTTTTAATTAATATACTTTTTAAATCTTCGAAATCGGTTCATTCGTTGCGATTTCATAACTGATTTTATGGTAGCCAATATTCACCGGCGGTCGAAATGTGTGACGTCACAGAGCTCGATCGTGGTTCACTCCGGTCGAACTTTAGTAGCGTCTCTACGCACGTTCGCGCTAGAGCTCTGTGACTTCACAGTCACCACGCGGCCAGCCGAAAATTTGTTTAGTAATTTGGTTATAACTTCGTCAATATTTATCGTAGAAGAAAAATTTAACCACTGTTTTTTATTGAATCCGTAGCTCTATAAATCTGCATTCTCAACTAAAATCGCTACGGATATTCATTTGTTTCTCCCATTCCTTAATAGGAAATGTGAAAGTGACAGTCGCGATAATTCGATCCGTTATTTTGTTGTTGATTATTTACAAGGTTATCGATAAACTTAAGAACCAACACCAATTTGGCATTTATGATAATTCTTAGTATATTTTTTGCGATAATTATCAGTATTTAGATTGTGACGGACACTTCCAGTTAAGTAAGCTAAATTAAAAAGTTAAAAAATAATCTGACACAATAAATACCATTTTATGTGTATAATCTATGGCAGCGCTGCAAACAAAACAGTCTTTCTTCCTAATGCCGGCACTTCACTTGGCTATTCGTATTTGCTATTTTAAAACATGACATCAGTCTGTCCTTTTCATTCCCTATTAAGAATGACAAGGACAAATTGTTGTCAAGTTGTCAAGGGCCTGCATAAAACTCGATACTATGTGGTTGTAGTGCATGCAGTTTGCATTCGTAGTAATCTGTGGCATTCGTGCATTCCAAAGAGTAGTTTAATATACCGGAAAGTGCATTCTCGTTTCGGATTACCTGTTGTGTGTGTTTATTTGCGATTGTTTTTCCTTTAATTTAACTATTTCGGCTATCTAATATGCCATCGATGTTACCAAAGAGCAGAGCACTTGGTAAGTGCTAGTGAACCTGCGCCACAACATCCTGAGAGGATCATACTGCCAAATTATTCAAGAACACCTAATACACATTCACGCTGCATATTTACACAATATACATGTGATATACAAATAAATACAATAAACAATATGATACAATTATGTGAAAAATAGTCAATAAATAAGAAGCAAAACTACAGTTTTTATTTTATTCGTGATTCCTACCTTACCAAGTTTTTCCTAATAGTTATTCTTTAAAATCGCACCGAATAAAATGAATTAGTCGTAATATTAATTCACTTCATACTGAGTTCATACTAAATTCATAGGTTGACCTATGTTTCATTGAATATTAAACATAACCTCAAAAAATTTTTAGTTTTCCTAATAATTTAAGTTCTCAGAAGTGTCCGCCAATAATCTTTGTTTTTACAGTCATCTACTTACGATTTTGAACCTAGAAAATAATATTTCATGATTGTTGGTTCTTAGGTTAACTATGTATGGACGCTGAACAATGTCCTTTACATATAAAAGGTAAAAAATTAAAACCCACATATTGTCCAAATTCAGTCAATTTATTTCCTTTTTAAAGAACATCAATCAAACCATCAGCCGTATGAGAAAAGACAATTAAAAACATTTTATTTATTGCACCTAATAACTATGTAACTACATTAAAAAAGTACAAAATAGGAATACGCCTAAAAATAATTATATTTAAAAACACAGATTTTTTGCATTACTGGCCGCTAAAATGCGAGATTTATTAAGTATAATAAAAATTCGTTAAAAAATCTATAAATATTTATTTTTATAAAAGTAAATTGAAATATTAAATTTAGCACCACATGAAATCACAGAAAATTGTCAAGATCATTAAAACAAATTCTTAATAATAACAGCAAACTGAAACGATCCTAATTTTTATTTGAACAGAGTTGATATTCGATTGCTGTGTCCGCATTTTATTATTATTATGTAAAAAAATATATACTATAATATTATATAAATATATAAATAATTATTACGTAAATTGATTGTAAAGTCGGTTCACAGACGATAGTTTTACGTGATAACGACATACCGAAACTGATGAAAAATTGCATAAATGAAAATTTTTTTTCTTCTCGCGTGACGTCACAGCTAGGCTCTGACGTCACGCGAGAAGAGAGATAAATGTGTACAAGCCGATCGTGCCTCTCTATCGCTTTTTCCGCGCTCTCGCTTTCACGCTCAGGCTCAACCGGAACGTGACATTTTTTCGTGCGTGCAGCCGGTGTTCATCGATTTATAAGACGTTATCCCGTCAAAATGATAAACCGTTTAGGATCCAACCAAGGTTGAATTTCGGATAGCAAACAGAGATCATACGAGCCATATTTTTAGACCGAATACGTTGCTATGACAACGTATTATACACTGTTTATATAATGACAGTAGAGACAACAGCTCAGTTTACGCGCCATGCTTGAGGACTTATTCGTCTAGAGATTTCGACCCTATTGCAATGCTAATAATTCAAACCTAATTTCAATGAGATGGATCACAAATTAAAGCATCTGACACTACAGTAGAAAATATAACTTAGGACTATTGTTTATGGAAAGCTTACGAAATGACTCCAATAGGCTAGTTGACACTTTTTGGAAATATCTTTTAAATGGTTAATAATTGTTCAATTAGACCGAAAAAAATGTATTGTAATTTTTTTTTACCTAGAAAGCTACAAAACTTTAATTTTAAAATAGATATTTCATGGACATACAAAAACGCTGTCGGCCATTTTAGTCTATAGATTATCTATGGTATGACGGAAACAATAGTAAACAAACACTCGCAAGCACGT